CTATTAATTCAACTGTAAACCTAAAAATTTACAGCCAATGCTGAGATGCATCTTAGCTCTGGAAATTGTTATTGAATATGTCAATGCCGTTGTAATGAAATGCTTCTTCTACTTATATGATTATTAAATAAATAATTTTTAAAAATTTACTTCATGTTAATTAGTAGTGGTGATAAACATTACCATTGAAATCTACCTGATGATTTTATATCTATACTCAGGTGCCAAGGATTTGAGTGTAACCAACTGTGACTGGTAATAATTAGATACATAGAGATTAAAGACACGTGCAAACATCTAAGCATTAGTAGCACTAAAAATGTAGTAAACAGCATATTTTAAACTGAAATGGAGATCTTCCTTAAAGGTGAAAAACTCATTCAATTTTATGTCTTACAGGGTTTGTACTGAGTTCAATATTGTGTAACTGTATTAATTCAACTGTGAACCTAAAAATTTACAGCCACTTTTGAAAGAGATATATCCTTGCTCTGGAAATTGTTACTGAATATGTTAAAGCTGTAATGAAATGCTTCTTCTAATCATGTGCTTATTAAATTAAAAAAATCAATCTACAAAAATCAGTAGCCTTTCTATATATCAATAACATGCAACTGGAGAAAGAATACAAGGAAATTCTCCCATTCACAATTGCTGCAAAAAAAATCAATCTTCAAATAAATCTGAACAAAGACAACAAAAATCTCTACGATAAAAATTTTAAGTCATTAAAGAGATTGAGGAAGACACGAGGAGATGGAAGGACCTCCCATGTTTACGAATTGGAAGAAATAATCTTGTGGAAATGACTATCCTACCAAAAGCAATATACAGATTCAATGCAACCCCAATCAAACTCCCCATGACATACTTCACAGAATTAGAAAAAAAAAGTCCTTAAATTTGTATGGAAGCACAGAAGACCCCGGATAGCCAAAGCAACCCAGAGCACAAAGAACAATGCTGGGGGTGGGGGGGAATTACTATACCAGATCTTAAATTATACTGCAGAGCTACAGTCACAAAAACAGCATGGTACTGGCACAAAAATAGATAGATCAGTGGAACATCAGTAAAGACCCAAACCCAAGTACATGCAATTTCAGCCACCTGATATTTGACAAAGGTGCCAAGAACACACAATGGAGGAAAGACAGCATCTTCAACAAATGGTGCTAGCAAAACTGAATCTCTACCTGTAGAAGAATAAAACTAGATCCTTATCTTTCACCTTGCACAAAAGTCAACTCCAAATGGATCAAGAACCTCAATGTGAAACTGGAAACCCTGAAAATATTAGAAGAAAATATTGGCAGTAACTTACAAGATGTAGTGTAGGAAAGGATTTTCTATATCAGACAGAAGTTGCTCAGGAATTGAGGTCAGCAATCAACAACTGGGACCTCATTAAACTGAAAAGCTTCTGTGCAACCAAAGAAACAATCAAAAAAGTGAAGAGAAAACCCACAGAATGGGAACAAATCTTCACCAGTGACACATCTGACAGACTCAGAAAAACAAGGTATGTTCTCCTTCATATGTGGATCCTAGCACCAAATCCTTTTAAATTCCATGTCCTTTTAATAAGATGATGCTATACAGCAGTCTCGTCTAGATCTAACCATTTACCTGCAATTTTTATTATTTCATCTTTCTTTACTGCTGAATAGAACTCCATTGTGTAAATATAACACATGTTTGTTAACCACTCATCAGTTGAGGATCACTTAGGTTGCTTTCATTTTAGCTATTGTGAAAAGAGCAGCAACAAACATGGTTGTACAAGTGTCTCTACAATACGATGAGTCCTTTGGGTATATGCCAAGGAGTGGTAGAACTGAGTCATACAGTAACTTCATTTTTAGAGGTTTAATATCCAGAATATATAAAGAACTCAAAAAACAAGGAACTGAGAAAACAAATGACCCAATTAAAAGATGAGCTAAAGATCTAAACAGAGAGTTCTCAAAGGAAGAAATAAAGATGTCTAAGAAACATCTCAAAAAGTGTTCAACATCACTAATAATTAGAGAAATGCAAATTAAAACCACGCTAAGGTATCACCTTACCCCAGTCAGACTGGCTAGGATCAAGAGGACAAATGATACAAAATGCTGGCAAGGATGTAGAGAAAGGGGAATGCTCATTCACTGCTGGTGGGATTGCAGACTCATGCAACCTCTATGGAAAACAGTGGGCAAACTCTTAAAAAACTAAAAATGAACTTACCGTATAACCCGGTTCTACCACTCCTTGGCATATACCCAAAGGACTCATCGTATTGTAGAGACACTTGTACAACCATGTTTGTTGCTGCTCTTTTCACAATAGCTAAAATGGAAGCAACCTAAGTGCCCCTCAACTGACGAGTGGTTAACAAACATGTGTTATATTTACACAATGGAGTTCTATCCAGCAGTAAAGAAAGATGAAATAATAAAAATTGCAGGTAAATGGTTAGATCTAGAAACTGTTATACTAAGTGAAGTAACATAGACTCAGAAAAACAAGGTATGTTCTCCATCATATGTGGAGCCTAGCACCAAATCCTTTTAAATTCCATGTCCTTTTAATAAGATGATGTTGTACAGCAGTCTCTTCTGCATGAAATAACTACCATCATCATGATTTCGCTGTGCCTGATTGCTAAACATTGTCACAGTTGGGCTTGTATGACGGTTCTGCTCATTCATTAAAGGAGGGCCAAGCAGGGTCATTGGACCCTCACTGGAGTATCCAGCCACTCTTCCCAGCCAACTGTATGTAATTTGGCCCTAATCACACATGGTCTCCTGGATTTGGGGAGGGCTGAGGTATACAGTCTGGGGAAGGCCAGGAAGAGAAGGCATGACCCATAATGGGTAAAGTCTTTCCAGTGAGCATTTTCTCAGGTCATA